TGTGTGTGTGTGTGTGTGTGTGTGTGTGTCTGTCAGTCTGTCTCTCTCACAGTATTCCAGCCTGCCACTGCTATGGCTCTCAGGCTGCTTTCTAATTCTGTAAATAAAGTGTTACTAGAATCTGTCCACACTCATTTATTTACATGTTGTCTATGACTGCTTTTGTACCACACGGGCAGAGTTGAGTAGTGAGAACTACTTGAAGCCTAAAATATTGACTATCTGACTGTTTTCAAAAGAAGTTGGCTGATCTCTGGTATAGATTTTTCCTTCATTAAAATTTCCTACTTGATTTTTTTAAACTTTCTCCATGTAGGTTTAAAAGTCTTTTTACAAATATCTTCTATATAAAATTCTAACAGGGAACAATATGTGTAAGAAAATTTTTCCCCATTTAAAAACCAAAAGTAACTCTTCAGCCAACTTTTCTTGAAAACATAACAAACATTAGCTAAGCACAGCTTATCTTTCTTTAAGAAATGTATTTTCAGACACTTAAAACTCATAGGGTAAACAAATTTCTGTTAAATAACTGGTTTATGCCAAATGAGATTTAATTTTTTTTAAAGATAGGCTTGGGATATTTAGTTTAAATATAGGCTGTAAATTGAGTTTAATTAATGTTATTTGCAACAGTGTAATTTATCGACATGAGAGGAAGCAATAAGAGTAAAAGTGTAACAATATTATGTGACACTGAGAAGATACTTTCTTACAGAGTGACACAATCAGGCTCCAGTATGGATCTCTTGGTTTCTTGATCTCTTTTACGGACCTTTATGTGCTTAAAATGGTTATTCTTGTAACTGAAAAGCGTTGAAATCTACCTCTCGTTGTGAAACTTTTGCTTGTTTTTTGTTGTATGAATACTCAATTTTGGGTCAGATTTAAGCGTACATGGATTTAATTTTTAACTGAAATTAGAGAATCTATTCTTCCTCTTGTTGCTTGTTACCTTCAACATGTAAGAAGGTAAAAAATTCTACAAAACATTCTTTGTTCATTGCTGGAAACTTTTCCTGTGCAGAAATCTAGGACTTCTCTGGGGTAGATCATTAAATCTCATCTTGAGCATACTAAGCTCTTTTTTGGAAAATAAAGTTCTCAGGCTGAATAAAAGATTCCGAGAAAGGGGTCAGTAGTGGCTTGAATAATCCTACTTCCAAATTCATGTCCACATAGAACCTTGGAGTGTGACTTTATGTGGAAATAGGGTCTTTGTGGATATATTTGCTCATTAAATATGAAATGTCCAATTTCGAATCAAAAGTGTAATTTATTATATCTAAAACAAGAAGCAGTACAATTAATCGAAGTATGTACCTAAACTGTTGACACAGTTTTTCCATCTTAATGGTAGCTTGTTTATGTCAGTAGTGAAGAAGCCTGAAGAGCGAGTGGTGAGGAAATCGCAAAAAACATTTTCCACACCTTGTTCAGAATTGAACATTTTTCCTTGCAGGAAGTGGTCCAAAGCTTGAAAGAAGTGGTAGTCAGTTGTTGCAAGGTCTGGTTAATAGGTTGGGTGACAGAGTCTCCAAGTCCAGCCTCTGTAGTTTGAGCAGTGTTGCTTTTTGTGACATGTGATCTTGCAAGAGGATTGGCCTGTCTCTGGTGACCAATCTTGGCAGCTTAACTGCAAGCATCCTATCATTTCATCCAGTCGGTTGCAGTAGACATCCTCTGTAATGGATTGACCAGGTTTCATGAAGCTGTAGTGGATAATACCAGCACTGAGTCACCAAACAGACGCCATTAACTTTTTTTGATGAACATTTGGTTTTGGACTGTGTTTCAGCACTTCATCTTTATCTGACCATTGTGCCTAATCCTTGCGATTGTCAAAAAGAATCCATTTTTCTTCATATGCAATAATACGGTGTAGAAATGATTTGCTTTTGTGTCATAACAGCAAAGAAAGGTGAGCTTCAGGACAATTTCTCTTCTGATGCTGTTTTATTTCATGTGGAACCCATCTATCCAGCTTTTTTACCTTGCCAATTTGTTTCAAATGGTCCAATATTGTTGAAAAAGTGACATCAAACCTTGCTGCTAATTCGCATGTAGGTTGAGGTGGATTCGCTTCCACTACAGCTTTCAGTTCCTTATTATCCACCTTGGTCTCAGGTTGCCCACATGGCTCATTTTCTGGGTTAAAATCACCAGAATGTAACTTCTCAAACTATCGACGTACTGCGCGTTCGTTAGCCACATCCTTCCCAAACGCTTTGGTTGATATTTCAAGCTGTCTGCACAGCACTGGTTCCATGATGGAACTCATATTCAAAAATAACATGAATTTTTTTTTTTTTTT